GAGAAATTTCATGAACACCAAACCAGCACTGCAAGGAATTCTAAACAATATCCTAGAAAAGGACAATGAAGTTCACAATAACATGAGGCCTAACAGACCAAATCAAATAGGTAAGGCAAGAAACTGAAAGGAGATGGGAGAAAAAGTAAAGAGTCAACAAAAGGACAATAACATGACAAGAATAAGTCAGAATATATCAGTTATAACCATCAATGTTAATGGCCTCAATTCACCAATCAAGAGAAATAGATTGGCAGAATGGATTAAGAAGCAAAATCCAACAATATGTTGTATACAAGAAACACACCTAGTGCAAAAGGAAGCCCATAGACTGAAAGTGAAAGGATGGAAAACAATTCTCCATGCGTCAGGAGCCCAGAAAAAAGCAGGGGTAGCAATCTTATTCTCAGATAAAGTAAATTTCAAACCAAAACTCATTAAGAGAGACAAAGAAGGACACTACATCCTTGTAAAGGGACAATACAAGAGGAAGAGTTGAAAATCATAAACATATATGCACCAAATATAAATGCCCCTAACTATATAAAACAAATATTAAGTAACATGAAGCACTAATATAATTGTAGTGGGGGATTTAAATACCCGACTATCACAAATTGACAGATCATCTAGGCAGAAAATCAACAATGAAATAATAGAACTGAACCAAGCTTTGGAACACATGGACTTAATAGATGTTTATAGAGTATTCCACCCCCAAAAATCAGAATATACATTCTTTTCAGCTGCACATGGATCATTCTCCAAGATAGACCACATATTGGCTCACAGAACAGGTCTAAACAAATGCAAAAAAATTGAAGTCATCCCCTGTATATTATCAGATCATAGTGCAATCAAACTGGAGATCAATAGCACAAGAAACTATAGAAACTTCACAAGCACATGGAAACTGAACAACACTCTCCTAAACAATCAATGGATTACAGAGGAAATTAAAGAAGAAATTAGACAGTTTTTACAAATAAATGAGAATGCCAATACATCATACAGGAATCTTTGGGGCACAGTGAACGCAGTTCTACGTGGAAAATTCATAACGTTGAATGCCCACACTAGGAAAACAGAGTGGGCTCAAATAAACAACCTAACGAAGAAACTTAGACTCCTAGAAACACAAGAGCAAGAAAAACCCAAAGCTCGAACAAGAGAGGAAATTATAAAGATCCGAGCAGAAATCAATGCAATTGAAACTAAGGAAACGATACAAAAAATAAATAAAATAAAGAGCTGGTTTTTTGAAAGAATAAATAAAATCGACAAACCCTTAGCTAATCTTATCAAAAAAAGGAAAGAAAAGGCTCAGATCCATGCAATTAGGAATGAAAAAGGCGAAGTCACAACAGATCCGAAAGAAATCCAGAGGATCATGAACACCTACTTTGAGAACCTGTACTCTAATAAAATGGAAAACACAGAAGAAATGGACAGATTTCTAGATACTTATGAATTACCAAAGTTGAACGAAGAAGATAAAAACATTTTAAACACCCCAATCACAATCAGTGAAATTGAAAATGTAATTAAAAACTTACCAACAAAGAAAAGCCCAGGCCCTGATGGATTCACTGCTGAATTTTACAAGACATTTAGAGAAGAACTACTACCATTACTCTTCAAACTTTTCAATGAAATTGAAAGAGAAGCTATACTTCCAAATTCATTCCTGGAAGCAAGTATCACTCTGATTCCCAAACCAGAGAAAGATACAACCAAAAAGGAGAACTACAGACCAATCTCCTTAATGAATATAGATGCAAAAATCCTTAATAAGATACTAGCAAACAGAATACAGAGGATTATTAAGAAGATCATCCATCATGACCAAGTCGGATTTATTCCAGAGATGCAAGGGTGGTTCAACATACGAAAGTCAGTGAATGTAATACATTATATTAACAAAGTCAAGGACAAAAACCATATGATCCTCTCAATAGATGCAGAAAAAGCATTTGATAAAATTCAACACCCATTCATGATAAAAACCCTGCAAAAAATTGGAATAGATGGTCTATACCTCAATTTAATAAAGGCTATTTATGAAAAACCATCAGCCAACATCATATTGAATGGCCAAAAACTGAAAACCTTCATGTTAAAATCAGGAACAAGACAAGGATGCCCACTATCGCCACTTCTCTTCAATATAGTTCTGGAAACATTAGCCACAGCAATTAGACAAGAGAAAGAAATTAAAGCAATAAAGATAGGAAAGGAAGAAGTTAAACTATCATTATTTGCTGATGATATGATACTCTACATTGAAGATCCAAAAAACTCCACCAAAAAACTTTTAGACTTAATTGACAGATTCAGTAGAGTATCTGGATACAAAGTGAATACCCAAAAATCAATAGCCTTCTTATACATAAATAACAGACTCACGGAGAGAGAAATAAGGGAAAAAATTCCTTTTACAATAGCATCCAAAAAAATGAAGTATCTAGGAATCAATCTAACAAAAGAAGCAAAAGACCTCTACTCTGAAAACTACAGCACTCTGAAAAAAGAAATTGAAGAGGATATAAAAAAATGGAAAGATATCCCCTGCTCATGGGTAGGAAGAATCAAAATAGTGAAAATAGCCATATTACCAAAACTTTTATATACATTCAATGCAATGCCAGTTGAAATTCCAACACTATATTTCACAGAACTAGAAAAAAGAATCCAAAAATTCATTTGGAACCATAAGAGACCTACAATAGCAAAAGCCATTTTAGGCAACAGACACATGGCACCAGGTATAACAAGTCCCAATTTGAAACTATACTACAAAGCCACTGTGATAAAAACAGCATGGTACTCGCAAAGAAATAGGCCTGAGGATCAGTGGAACAGACTGGAAGACACAAAAACAAACCCAGATGTACTCAGATACCTCATCTTTGACAAAGGAGCTGACCATCCTCAGTGGAAGAAAGATAGCCTCTTTAATAAATGGTGTTGAAAAACTGGATGTCAACCTGCCACAGATTAAAATTAGACCCTTATCTTTCTCCATGCACCAAATTAAAATCCAAATAGATTAAAGATCTAAATATTAAAACAGAAATATTAATCTTGCTGGAAGGTAAGTTAGGCAGAACTCTGGAAGACATTGGTATAGGAAAAGACTTTATGAACATATCCTCAGTAGCACGGGAACTAGCAGATAGAATCAACAACTGGGATCTCATCTTACTAAAAAGCTTCTGTACTTCAAAAGAAACCATCAGCAGAACTAAGGACAATCTACAATGTGGGAAAAAAATTTTACCAGCTGTTCCTCAGACAAAGGACTATTATCAAGGATATATAAAGAACTCAAAACAATCAGCCCCCCAAATATAAAGACCTGATTAAAAAATGGGCATCCGAAGTGAACAGACATTTCTCAAAGAAGTAAAAGCAGCAAGTAAATATATGAGAAAATGTTCCACATCACCGATCATCTGAGAGATGCAGATGAAAACAACACTGAGATTCCACCTCACCCCACAAAGATGGCTGTTATCAAGAAATCACACAATAACAAATGTTGGTGGGGTTGTGGTGAGAAAGGAACCCTTCTCCATTGTTGGTGGGAGTGCAGACTGGTGCAACCACTATGGAAATCAATATGGAGATGCCTCAAAGAGCTTGGACTGGAGGTTCCATTTGACCCAGCTATTCCTCTGCTGGGTATCTTTCCAAGAGAACTAAAAGAATCATATCACAGAGAAGTATGCACACCCATGTTTATAGTGGCACAGTTTGTAATAGCTAAATCTTGGAAACAGCCCATTTGCCCATCCGTTGAAAACTGGATAAAGAAGATGTGGTTTTTCTATAAAATGGAATATTACTCAGCCATAAAGAATGAGAAAATAGATTCATTCATACGAAAATGGATACATATTGAAGATATACTCCTAAGTGAAGTAAATAAGTCACACATGTGTAAATACCGAATAGTTTCCCTGGTGTGAATAATCTGCAATAAAACATAAGATCCTAATAAGATTACTGTCATTTAGAAATGAGAAGAAAGGAGCTAAAGGTGTAGGGAAGGTGGGATGGGTAGGGGAAGGGTAACAAGGGAAAAGAAAAAAATGTGAGAGAATGAAAAGATGGAAATAAAGTGTTTGTACATGGGGAGGGGAGGAGGGGGTGAAGGGAGGGCAGAGGTAAGGGGAAAAAATGAGAATCAAGACTTGTCATGTAAAGGTACAAGATCCCAACAATGAATGTAACTGTACTGTATCCCTAAAATGTACCAATAAACTCAATTAAAGCTGAAAGAAAAAGAGTATTGAAGGCCTTCACTATGATAGTATTGAAGTTTCTCTGACCTTGAATGCTGGTTAGTATTTGTTTCATGAAGTTGGGTTTGCAGCAGTTGGTGGATCTTTTTCTATGGACATTATCTCTTCCTTTTGAATTGTTCCTTTGACCAGCAGTAAGTGACCTCGGTATCTTCTGGTCAGTTTTCAGTTCAAGTCAACTTTGTCTGAACATAGGACAGCTACACCTTGTACTTTTGTGCCTTCTGTTCCATCCTTTCGCTCTTAGATATATTTATTACTTTTTTGCAGCTGTGTCCCTTGTAAGCAACACTAGTTGAACTTTTTCTTTCATATCGTCTGTGGCAGCCATTGTCTTCTGACTGAGGGGTGAAGATCGTTTTCCTTGAGAGCTACTAATAAAATGTGTTTACTAAATCCTCTCACTGTATTGTTTTTCCTCTGCTGATTCCTTTCAGCTTTCCACGTTGTTTAGCTACCCTCCCAGTTAGATGTATTCTTCCCCTTATGACTCTTGTTTATGTTGGCCTGTCACTGACGAGGATGCTTGTATTTTCCACAAAGTTGGTTTGTGGTCATAAATTTTTAGATGCTGTTTCTTATGGAAAGTTATTGTTTCTGTATAAATTTTAAAAGACAGTTTGGATGATATAATAATCTATATTGAGAGATATTTTCTTTTACTGCTTAAAAATCTTCACTCCAAATTTCTGTGGACTTTAAGGTGTGTGTTGAGAAACCTGTTGTAGTTCTGATAGGCTTGCCTTTATATTATTTGATGTTTTTCATAGCTTTTACTATTCACTATTTTTGATGAATTTCTGGGATTTTGACTGTGATATGTCATTGAGAAGTTTTCTGTATTCTTGGCTCTTTGGGTTTCTGAACCCAAAGAAGTTGCTGTGCCACAAACTTGAGTTCTTTCCTTAAATTTGAAAAACTTTCTGCTACGATTTTGGTGAACAGAGAACAAAAAGAAAACACATACAGAGAAATTAAAGTGTCTTCCATGTACTATTTTTTCTGCAACCAGAATCCCTCCCCTACATTCACAAATGAGATTTTTGTTCCCCTCTGGTGTTTTTCCATGTTTGGGTCTTTGTCTGCCCTCAGCACATTGACAAGGACCTGTGCTTCCCACGGGGAGTCTTGCCTGTGTTTCTAGTCAGTTGTTACGGAATTAGATCAAGATTCATTCTGGATGTCATTTCTGTCCACCTACTTAGAAATTGTTGTCAAGAACAAGGAGCCCTCTCAAGGAGTAAATAAAAACGAGTCAAGATCCTTGCTTTAATTCTAATCAGTGTCAATGTTCTGTTCCATTCCTTTAATAATACAAATGTGAGACTTTTCCTTAAAGTTTTTCAAGAGAGTAGAAACGGTGTACTTCTTAAGTAGGGCACATGTGTCAATACTGAATAGTTTCTCTGGTGAGAGAAATTGAAAGTGTATAATAGGTAAAATGAAATATATTATAATGTGTAAAGTAGATAATGTGAAATAAGAAGAGATCCAAAGGGGAAGTAGGGAAGGGTGGTAGGGAAGGAAAGAAAGGGAAGAAAAACAGGTGCATTTCTTTATGTTTCTAAATTGTTTAAGTACTGTAGTGCAGTACACTAGTACATTTTCACACTGAAAGTTACAATTACTTAAGTAATGATAACTTTATTTAAAAGTAGGCATCCTGGGAACAGAGAAAAGTGAGCGCGGAAGCTTTGACTTCGCAGGTGAGTGTTGGCTGACGTTCACTACACTCTGTACTCAGGAGGGTTTGCTGGGCTCTTCTCTCTTGACGACAACTGACATTTCAGGAACACTGGATACCTCAGCGCTCCGTAGCTCTCATCTGCTCTACTTCCCCGGATGCCCCCGTCAGAGGTCCATCAGAAAACGAGGAGGGAAGTCACTTACAAGGTCCCCACAGCCAGGTGTCTGTCTTTGAGACCCACTTCACCGCAGCGTGATGTCTCTCTTCCAGCTGCACCGCTTCCTGAAGAGCATCCAGTTTAACAGTCCCGTTGGAGAACAAGTGGATGTAGGCAAGAACATAAAACTGGATGCAGAGTATGACATTCTCAACTTTTGGAATTTCCCAGAAGGCCTCAGGCTGAAGGTGAAAGTGGGGGAGTTTTCTCCGCGTGTTCCCCAAGGGCGACAGCTGTCTCTGTCTGAGGAGCTGATACAGTGGGCCACAGGAAACGCAGAGGTAGGTGGGGCTGATCCCGGGGCCTTTCTGCCCACGTAAATAGGCAAATGCTGTCTGTGGGTTGGGTGCCCCCTACTGGTCCGGAGATGGCCACATAGGGACTCTTCCACGTCCTTTTAACGGAGAGAGTGCTCTTATTTACCTCCTCCCTGATGAGTGAAAGGCAAAAGCATTATATTTTTATAAACATTCATAGATTGTTGTCATTGTCCGCTGTTTGGTCTGCACAGTTTGCTTCAGGAGCTCGGACTAGGGGGGCAAGGTGCAGAATCACCAAGCCGACTCCGAGGAGGTTTCTGGAATGCTTCTACTTTATTTAGGAAATGCACAGGCTTATATAGCTTACATGTGGACAACCATGGGGGAGGATCTTGGCAGGAGCATTTAATTATATGGCACTTTCTTATAGGTTATGCAGATCCATACATTAGTGGAGAACATTGGGTGATATCTTATTGGCTAGACATATGGTGGGGTGATTTTTTTTTTGGGCGAGGCAAAGGAGTCACAGACTAGGAGGTGTAGCCTGATAGACCCAGCCTCTACACACTTAGGCAAGCTTGCTCAGCCTTAGCATGGTCTCCGAGCTTGCTCAGGAGAGAGGACTGTGGCACACCTGGCACAGTGAGACTTGAACTTCTCCCAGATTGTTATCATTCAATAGACAGCATTTAACCAGATAATTGCATTTTGGGTATATATGCAAATTAAGTTTTCCACTCTAGTTGTGAAAGATTAAGAGAAGTCTAGACACCAACATGTATCTGACTTTTCTCAGAGTCCACCCTCAGTATGCAGTGAGAGTTGTCTTCCTGGATTTAGGAAAAGCCCTCAGGAGGGAAAGGCTGTCTGCTGTTTTGACTGCACCCCTTGCTCGGAGAATGAGATCGCCAATGACACAGGTAAGAGTATGGCCTATGGGTAAATTCTTCACCTCTCTCTCTTATGCCTCATCAGTGCAGAAATGAAACCTATTTTGAAGAAGAGCAAAAGCGAATTCTTTGTTTCTTCAGTTAGCAATTTCATTCCTGAACCACTGCCCCGTGCAAAACATTCTGTGCCCTGAACTGTTCCTTTTGATTTATTTTGCTTTTGCTCTTAGCTTTTGCTCTCCTTGGCATGAACCCAGGGAGGCTGGCCCAGTGAACCACGTCCCTACCCACTTTTATTTTGTTCTTTTAAGATAGTGCCTCATTAAGTTGCCCAAGCTAACATCACATTTGTGACTGTCCTGCTTCATCTTCCCAAGTAGCAAGGTTACAGGCATGGTACACGGCACCTGGCGTGTTTTTCTCAGTCCACCAAAAGAATTATGTTCTTATGGAAACCCCTTTATTCCCGCCCATAATTTCTAACTTCCTTCTCCATCATGAATTGCAAACAAATGTCACGAAGCTCCAACGCGTGGTGTTTCTCAGTACTGTGAGGTCACATGAAAGGAAGGGACGTGGCCTCTCCTTACTGCTGCAGTGACTTGTTCTGTCCCTGACACAGAGCCTGTGCCCTGAGAGGCTGTCTGGTGTAAGAGGTTGATCTGACTTTGCAGTTCGGTGTCTGCATGGTCAGCATGAGCTCAGTCACTAGGTTTCTCTCCCTGCTCTCCCGGACTTCCTCGGACAATGGTGAAAAGTCACGTAACAAGTCTCTGTAGTCAGTGCCGTAGACCCACAACAGTCCTATGGATGCCGACCTGGAGATCGAATAAATGACGATAACTATGCTTTGGGGAGAATGCTGTGGCTCTTTACATAAGCAGGACCATCAGTACTGTAGTAGAAGACGGGTTGGGGTGAGCTCTCCCCCATATGTGTATGGGTGTGTTTCTAGGTACACACTATGATCGCATTCATCATTGGGATTTTGTATCTGTACGTGATATATCTTGGTCCTTGTTTTTCCCCATTCCTCTGCCCTTCCTTCCACCCCTCCACCCCTCCCTATTTTCAAAAGTTTTGTTTCCATTTTTTCTCATATTTTTTCTTTCTCTACTTTCCTTTCCTCCACCTACTCCTCCGCCTCCCCCTTTGAACCTCTTCTTCCTATTTTACATCATCCATTAGCCATTTTGAACAAGCACATGTTTTCAGTTACAAATTCTTGTACTTGCTGAGGTTCAGACGTATAAAGATAGAGCCAGTTTACAATTGCAACCCTTAAGTTCAGTTTTTATCTTTTCCAAAAGAGTCCAAAAATCTTCTTTCAAGATTCAGATCCGCAGACATCTCTTAATTATGTCTAAAACATATTTGATTCATGTTTTTGGCTCTTTCAAATAGATGTACATTTTATTTTGTATCAGTGCACATTTGCAGTACATAAGGATTAAATTCCTCTTGTGGAGTCGGTCCATGGACGCAACACATCTTACTTCATCTTCCATACCTTTCCCTCCTTCTTCCCCCTCTCTCTTTTGATCACCTTCCCCTTTGGGAAAGATCTATCTTCCTACTTCCTATCATCTATCTTTTCTTTTCCTCTTCATTTATATTTTGTTTTTGTCACATAAGAGCAACGTTGCGATATTTAAGCTTGTGTGTCTGATTTATTCCATTTAACATTATAGCCTCAAGGTGCACTTTTAGGCCTTCTACTTCTCCAAGGTATTTTCAGAGAACAGACAATAGCACTGTGCTCTTCAAATATCTTCTCCCAAACGGACATTTTTGGTAGTCTTCATTTCAAAAGTATGGGCCAGGGATTTAGCTTATTGGTTGCAGCACCTGCCTCACAAATGCACGGATATGAGTTCAATCCCCAATACAAAAAAAAAATTCAAAAGTAGCAATTCCTGGGATGAGTTCTTTTTATATTTAGTAAAGTTAGTAAAAATCAGCCTTCCCATTTGGTGTAACATTGCACAAAAACTGCAGTCAGTGGTATTTAAAAACTAACAGAAAAACACAAGAATGAGGCTTACACATGCTGTAAAAAAATATATAGAAACCAGTATTCACTATTTCTAAATATAATAATTACACCTTAGGGGATATTTGAATTTATGACGATAAAGCATAACATGCAAGAATCACCTCTCTACTGAATATTTTCTGCTCTATTTCTGAAGCAGATATGTTTTTTAAATCTTTATTAAATTCATTGGTACATCTTAGGTATACAATACAATTACATACATTATCGGAATCTTGTTCCTTTATGTTCTTATCTTGGTTCTTATCTTACCCCATTCCCCAGCCCTCCCTTCAACCCCTCCATGTGTCCCTGTTTACAAAGACATTTCTTCCATGTTTTTCCTTTTCACATACTTTTTATTTTCCCTTTTTTCCTTTCCCCTACCCCTCCCACTTCCTCTACTCTTTTAGACCATTTTTTCCTATTGCACAATATCAATTATACATTTTGATCTTTATTTATACTTTTAGTTTTTTACACCAGAGAAACTATTTGGTATTTACACATTTGTGACTTTAATTCCATTTAAGAGTATGGCCTTGGGCCAGGGATTAAACTCAGTGGTTCCCCTGCTGCTTTGCAAGCTCAAAGTCCCAAGTTTGATCCCTGGTGCCAAAAAAACAAACAAACAAAAAAAGATTATGGCCTCAGCGTGGATCCACTTAGCTATAAATATCTCTATCATTTTTTATGGCTGAGTAGTACTCCATTTAATTTGAAAAACACATCTTTTTTATGCAGTCTCCAATTGATGGGCAATTGGCCAATTGATCCCTTGTACCAAAAATAAAAAGTACTCCCCAGCAAATTATAGTTTATAGGAGATCAAAATGGAAAGCACAAAGAGTTGGTGCTTAAGAATATTACATATCAAATCTTGTGTGCTCATGTTACAGCTATATTTAAAGACAATAGTGCATGATATATATGTGTATATATATATATATGTATTTGTTACTAAGTATATTTAAATTAAAAGAGATAAAGTTCTATTTTTAAAATATTCATCAATAACAACAAAGAGAAGATCATATTGAATACATAGAAAAAAGTAAGATAGGAACTAATATGACCTGAACTACCTAGAAGACATACTTGTGAAGTATAAACAACACTAAAGTTAATTCTAGTAAAAATATAGGTAACCTTTATTAGTTTGATCAAGGAGAAAAGTGACATTGTGAAACAATAAAACACCATGTGTGAAAATGGCATCAGTTTTACAGATAAAATATTTCATATAGAAATAAACTATAAATAATTTAGAGCCACTCTATGACATTTTAACTGATATTCACAAATTTACAGGAAAACACAAAACAATTTTAAGAAAGAAAATTAAAACTCTTCACAGTATCATAACTATTAACAATATTGAACCTATATTTTAATCTTTTTACACACTTTGTGGCAAAATTTATGGCACTGCTGAAAGATATGCATCCAATAACAGTAATATAGATTAGCTCAAACCCCCTCAGAGAAAAGAAAAACTTAGTTTATAAAATGAGCTACATTTTAGTTCACAAGGATGACAATTCTGAGAAACAAAGTTTATGGGACACTTTTCTTGCTTGAAATAAATTTGCATATTCCATTCCAAATTATGATATATATTTTAGAGACACTATGTCATAAACAAATTTAATTCTGACAGTTAATTCTGTGCTTTAGTTTCTGAGAATATAGAAATAGCCTCAATAAATGTAAAAAGTAACAAAGTTGAAAACCTCTGCTAATTTAGGAATAAACAATGACAGAAGCATTTCTTAAAAAACTAGAAGAATAAGGAAAGTTTTATAAACAATAAATAGAACTCTGAAGCAAAGATCTTACTTTGTGATTGAAAATCACAAATTGAGACAGTTTTCATGTTCCCACTTCTAGCAGACATTATGCTTCAGGCAATACTGTCTGGCAAAGAAATAAAAGCAAAAAATTCTTGTTAAAAAAGCAGAATGATTGGTATAATTTTCCATTGAGAGTAGGATATGAGTATAAAATGCAGGTAAATTAACAAATTAACAATTTACTTTATTGGCATCTAAGTTATGTAAAAGAGTCTTACATATATAGGTAACTTGTAAACTATTCATATATAAAATATAAAAATTGATATTTACTAGTCATAAAGTAGGAGATATCTAGAGAAATTTATGTAAAAGTTTTCAAAGAAACTTCTGCTAAATTAAATAAGAGGATTTGCAACAATAAAAATGAAAAATATTAGTTGGAAAAAACATATCAATGAATGGAAACCCTCAAAATTGGAAGGATGTTAGTGTTTCCCAGATTATCCTACAATTTCGAGCCAATTTAGATGAATACATTTAAATGATTTGTGGTAAAGTAATCTACAGCCTTCCTGAGAATGGGAGGGCTTGCTCCACCAGACATGACAGACTGCTGGTCGTCTTTCTGTGCCTGGAACTTACCTAATTATGTAGGTTTGTACATTGGCCCCTGACTGAATAAATGTCCAGGACATCATTACACAGGTTGCGTTCAGACAGGGAAATCTTTTTTTTATTTAAATTGAATTTATTGGTACATTCTAGGTATACAATACAGTTACATTCATTACTGGGATCTTGTACCTTTACATGACAGGTTTTGGTTCTCATTTTTCCCCTAGTCCCCACCTTCCCTTCAACCTTTCCCCTACCCTTCCACTTTCCCTACATCATTAGACATTTTCTTCCTATTTCACATTGTCAATTGTCTCATTAGGATTTTATGTACTATTATAGTTTTTCACGAGAGAAACTATTTGGTATTTACACATGTGTGACTTATTTATTTCACTTAGGAGTATAACTTCAAAAGGTATCCAAGGTAAAACTTGAAAATAGCCTATTTGCCCATCAGTTGCAAACTGGATAAAGAAGATGTGGTTTTTCTATAAAATGGAATATTACTCAGCCATAAAGAATGAGAAAATAGATTCATTCATAGGAAAATTGATACATATTGAAGATATACTCCTAAGTGAAATAAATAAGGCACACATGTGTAAATACCAAATAGTTTCTCTGGTGTGAATAATTTGCAATAATACAGAAGATCCTAATAAGATTACTGACATTGAGAAATGGGAAGAAAGGAGCTAAAGGTGTAGGGAAAGTGTCATGGGCAGGGGAAGGGTAAAAAGGGAAAAGAAAAAAATGTAAGATAATGAAAAGATGGAAATAAAATGGTTGTAGATGGGGAGGAGAGGAAGGGGTAAAGGGAGGGCAGAGACAAGGGGAAAAAAATGAGAACCAAGACCTGTAGTAGGTACAAGATCCCAACAATGAATGTAACTGTACTGTATCCCTAAAATGTACCAGTAAACTCAATTAAAGCTGAAAAAAAGGTATCCATTTACCCAGGAGCAGGGGATATCTTTCCATTTTCTTCTATCCTCTTCGCTCTCTTTTTTCAGAGTGCTGTAGTTTTCAGTGTAAAGGTCTTTTGCTTCTTTGTTAGGTTGATTCCTAGATACTTCATTTTTTGGGATGCTATTGTGAAAGGAATTGTTTCCCTAATTTCTCGTTCAGTGAGTCTGTTATTTGTGTACAAGAAGGCTATTGATTTTTGTGTGTTGACCTTGTATCCTGCTACTCTACTAAAAGTGTCAATTAAGTCGAGAAGTCTTTTGGTGGAGTTTTTTGGGTCTTCAGTGTAGAGTATCATATCATCAGCAAATACTGACAGTTTACCTTCTTCCTTTCCTGTCTTTATTGCTTTAATTTATTTTTCTTGTCTAATTGCTATGGCTAATGTTTCCAGAACTATAGTGGAGTGGTTTGGAGTGGAGAGGAGAGGAGTGGTGATAGTGACCATCCTTGTCTTGTTCCTGATTCTAACATGAAGATTTTTCACTTTTTTGGCCATTTAATATGATGTTGGCTGTTGGTTTTTCATAGATAGCCTTTATTAAGTTGAGATATAGACCATCTATTCCAATTTTTGGTAGGGTTTTTATCACGAATGGATGTTGAGTTTTGTCAAATGCTTTTTCTGCATCTATCAAGAGAATCATGTGGTTTTTATCCTTGACTTTGTTAATATAGTGTATTACATTTATTGATATATGTATGTTGTACCTTCCTTGCATCCCTGGAATAAATCTGACTTGGTCAGGGTGTATGATCTTCTTGATGATCCTCTGTATTCTGTTTGCTAATATCTTATTAAGGATTTTTGCATCTATGTTCATTAAGGAGATAGACCTGAGGTTCTCCTTTTTAGTTGGGTCTTTCCCTGGTTTGGGAATCAAAGTGATACTTGCCTCCAGGAATGAATTTGGAAGCATTGCAGGGAAGTCTTTTTAAAGCATTTGTGAAAACAGAAATATGCTCTTCTGAATATGGCAGATTAATAATGAGCATAAATATTATTTTTCTCTTTACCATAAAGAACACGGGCAGTGTTAATTGGGAATGATTCCTTACATATCTTGGTTATACTTGTGCCTTGAAAAATAGAGAAAAAATTGGTTGAACAAGCCCAGTGAGCTTCTTCAGGGGAGATCTGTGAATAACAAAGCAATACTGAACATGGCTATGACAATTTGCATTCCCACTAGATATGGAGCAGTGTGTGAAGTGTCTGGATCATCAGTATGCCAGCTCTCAGAGAGATCACTGCATTCAAAAGACTGTGACATTTCTGGCTTATGAAGACCCCTTGGGGAAAGCTCTGGCTGGCTTGGCTGTGAGTTTCACCATCCTCACAGCTGCTGTTCTTGGGCTCTTTGTGAAGCACCAAGACACTCCCATTGTCAAGGCCAACAACAGGACTCTCAGCTACACCCTGCTCATCTCCCTCACCTTCTGTTTCCTCTGCTCCTTGCTCTTCATTGGCCGGCCCAACACAGCCACCTGCATCCTCAGGCAGACCACATTTGGAGTTGTGTTCACTGTGGCCGTTTCCACCGTCCTGGCCAAAACGATCACTGTGGTGCTGGCCTTTAAGGTCACTGCTCCAGGCAGGAGGATGAGGCAGTGGCTGATAACAGGGGCACCAAACTACATTATCCCCATTTGCTTCACGATCCAACTGATTCTCTGTGTAGTCTGGATGGGAACCAATCCACCCTTTATTGAGACAGATGCACACTCAGAACATGGCCACATCATTATCATGTGCAACAAGGGCTCCCTCACTGCCTTCTACTGTGTCCTGGGATACCTGGGCTCCCTGGCCCTGCTGAGCTTCACCGTGGCTTTCCTGGCCAGGAACCTGCCCGACACCTTCAATGAAGCCAAGTTCCTGACCTTCAGCATGCTGGTGTTCTGCAGTGTGTGGGTCACCTTCCTCCCCGTGTACCACAGCACCAAGGGGAAGGTCGCGGTGGCCATGGAGGTCTTCTCCATCTTGGCCTCCAGTGCAGGGCTGTTTAGTTGCATCTTTTTTCCTAAGTGCTACATTATTTTGTTAAAGTCAGAGATAAATTCTCTGACTGGATTCAGAGATAAAACACATTCTGGGAGAAAGAAGCCATCTTAAGATATAAAAATATGTATTTCTCCTAAAACACAGAGGGTCTGAGGCCATTCACATCATTTTGTGGTCAGATATTATGGTATAGTATTTATTTCAATGACAAGTGATCTTTGTTTCTCTAGTAGTCTTAAGTGTCACTTCTATATGTAATATTTTAACTTGAATTTTATTCTGAATTATTTATTTCATTAAATCTGCAACCTACATTATTATTTATGCTTAATTTTGATATTAACTTTTATCTTCCTCTTGAATTTCTGAATTATTTTTATAAGTGTTAACACATTCCTAAGAAATTCCCCTAAATATTTTTTGTCTTTAGAATCTAACTTGATTTTTTTTTTTGGTACCAGGCATCAAACTCGGGTCCTTGTGCTTGCAAGGCAGGTGGTGGAACTACTGAGCTAAATCCCCGGCCCTAACTTGATTTTAATAGGCTTATAATAGCAAGTTTTCATAGCTGGTTCCTCTTTTTCACATTTGTATTTTGCTGTCTTCCTGAGGGTACTTTTGTAGAATTTCTTCAATGTATGGACTTCTAGAGTTCTAGAACTGGATGAGTATATGCTGAAAAAAAAACTCTGAATTTAGGAAGTCCAGTATTGAAAGTATTCATTAATTTGAAAAATAACATTTTAGCTTGCAGAAGTGAGATTTCTTATCCATAAATGGATATATCTTGCCATTCACTCTTGTTTAGTTATGCTTTGCTTTAAAATTAATTTATTGTTACAATACGGATATGCATATTGATCACATTCATCATAGGGAAACTGTGTATATGATATAACTTGATTCCTTTTCTTCCATTCCTCTTCCCTTTCATCAATAACATTTTCTTCTTATTTACAAAGCTTTGTTTTCATTTTATATTTCTTTTCTTTTATTTTCTCTTCCTTCCTTTACCCACAACTCTCCATCATTCTCCTTTCCTTTTGAATAATTTTTCCTATTTCACAATTTCTATTACACATTTCAGTCCTTGTTTACACTTTCACTTTCTTGTACCAAGCTCAATGTACTTACACGAGTAAGTCTATGCCTAAGTCTATGCCCTAACCCAACCAAAATAGAGAACTACAGGCCAGTCTCCTTAATGAACACAGATGCAGAAATCCTCCATAAGATACTGGCAAACAATACAGAGAGTCATCAGAAGATCATACACGCTGAGCAAGTTGGATTTATTCCGGGGATGCAAGGATGGTTCAACATACATAAATCAACAAATGTAATACACTGTATTAACAGAGTCAAGGACAAAAAACATATAATCATCTCAATCGATGAAGAAAAAGCATTTCACAAAATTCAAAATCCCTTCATGATAAAAACCCTGCAGAAAATTAAAATAGATGTTCTTTTTCCCAACTTGATAAAAGCTATCTATAAAAAACCAACAGCCAACATCATACTAAATGGCCCAAAACTGAAAACCTTCACATTAAAATCAGGAGCAAGGCAAGGGTATCCACTGTCACTACTCCTATTCAAAATAGTTCTGGAAACATTAGCCACAGCAATTGGACACAAGAAAGAAATTAAAGCAATAATGATCAGAAAGGAAGAAATTATTTGCTGATGATACGATACTGTACATAGAAGACACAGAAAATTCCACCAAAAGTCTTCTAGAATTGACACTTTCAGCAGAGTAGCTAGATACAGGGTCAACACTCAAATATCAATAGCCTTTTTGTACACAAATAACAGACTGACTGAGATAGAAATTAGGTAAACAATTCCTTTCACAGTAGCATCCAAAAAATATGAAGTATCTAGAAATCAGTCTAACAAAGGAAGCAGAAGATCTGTACTTTCAAAACTGCAGCACTCTGAAAAAAGGAGATCAATGAGGTTATAAGAAAATGGAAAGATATCCCCTATTCCTGGGTAGGAAGAATCAGCATAGTGAAAGTGGCCATACTACCAAAAGTGCCATACAGATTCAGTACAATCCTGATTGAAATTCCAACAGTATATTTCACAAAACTAGAAAAAATAATCCAAAACTTCATTTGGAACCAGAAGAGACCTAGAATAGCAAAAGCCATCCTAGGCAACAGAGACATGGCAGGGGACATCACAATTCCCAACTTGAAACTATACTACAAAGCCACTGTGATAAAAACAGCATGGTACTGGCAAAGAAAAAGACCTGAGGATCAGTAGAATAGATTGGAAGATATAGAAACAACTCCAGATGTACCCAGCTACCTCATGTTTGACAAAGGAACTGACCATCCTCAGTGGAAGAAAGATAGTAATAAATGGTGTTGGAAAAACTGATTTCAACCTGTCAAAGATGAAAATTAGATCCTTATCTTTCATCATGCACTAAACTAAAATCCAAGTGGATTAAACATCTAAATATCAACACAGAAACACTAAACTAGCTGGAATATAGGTAGAACTCTTGAAGACATTGGCATAGGAAAAGTCTTTATGAACAAATCCTTAGTAGCATGGGAACTAGCACAAAGAATCAACAACTGGGATCTCATCTTGTTAAAAAGTTTCTGCACTGTAATAAACCACCAAGAGAGATAAAAGACAACCTATAGTGTGGGAACATTTTTTACCAACTGCTCCTCAGACAAAGGACTATTATCTAGAATATATAAGGAACTCAAAAATAGCAGGCCCCCCAAATATAAAGACCTGATTCAAAAATGGGCATATGCAATGAACAGACATTTCTCAGACAAAGAAGTATATGCAGCAAATAAATATATGAAAAAATGTTCCACATCACTGGTCATTTGAGAGATGCAGACGCAAACAATACTATGATTCCGCCTCATCCCTGAAAGAATGGCTGCTATCAAGAAATCAACCAATAGCCAATGTTGATGGGGTTGTGGGGAGAAAGGAACCCTTCTCCAGTGTTGCTGGGAGTGAAGAGCGGTGCAACCACTGTGGAAATAAGTATGGAGATACCTCAAAGAACTAGGATTAGAAGTCCCATTTGACCAAGCTTTCCCTCTGCTGGGTATCTTTCCAAAAGAATTAAAAGAATCATACTGCAGTGATATATGTGCACCCATGTTTATAGCGGCACAGTTTGTAATAGCTACAACTTGGAACAGGCCAATTGCCTATCAGTTGGAGACTGGATAAAGCAGATGTGATTTTTCTATAAAATGGAGTCTTCTCAGCCTTAAAGAATGAGAAACTAGAGTCATTCATAGGAAAATGGATACATATTGAGACCTTACTCTTAAGTGAAATAAATAAGTCACACGTGTAAACACTGAATAATTTTTCTGATGTCAAAAGCTAAAAGTGTAAATAAGATCCAAATTGTATAACTGATGATGTGAAATAGGAAGAAAAGGGCTAAAGTTGTAGGGGAAGTTAGAAGGTTAGGGTAAAAGAAATAAGGGAAAATTTAAAAATGAGAAAAGAAAAAAATGGAAACAATATCTTTGTAAATAGCGGAGGTTGGAGGGACTGAAAGGAGGGCAGGGTTATGGGAGGAAATTGAGAACCAAGATCTGTCATGTAAAGTTAAAAGTTCCCAACCATAAATGTAACTGTACTGTATACTTAAAAAGTACTTACTCAAGTAAAAAAACCACACAAAAAGTAATTATACTACAGAGCTTCTGTGATAAAAATATTATGGAACTTGCAAAAAATACTTGAATATCAATGGTACAAACAAAAATGGAGTAACAACTCCAAATACATTCAGCCTTTGACAAAGTGGTCAAATACATTCACTTGAAGAAAGATAACTTCTTCAGTTGATGGTGCTATAATAAGTAGCATTCTACATGCAAAGAATAAAATGACTTAGGACTCTCATCATGTATGAAACTACAATCAAAATGGATCAAAGATCTAATGATGCAAATATAAAATCTTCAGGAAAAGACAATAGGTAGAACTTTTGAGGATATAGATTTAGGCAAAGACATCATGAACTAAACACCGATCACCCAGAAAATATTGCAAAGAATCAGCAACTGGGATCTCATCTCATTGAAAAGCTTTTGTATAGCAAAATACATCATCAGTGAAAAGACAACCCACAGAATGGGAAAAAATTTTACCAAGTGATTCCTCAGACAAATGACTAGTATCTACAACAAATAAAGAATCAAAAAATATCATAATGGATGGTTAAAGGAATTACTAAAGAGAAGTTTATGAGCCACCAGATTTCAGTGTAGATTTTGTCTTTATTAAATGAACTTAGAAGGAGATGTTACAGTTAAAGCTTGAATGCAAGAGCTTTCCATTGTTATTCTGCATTGACTTATTGCTGTTTATGTTCCTTTGTGGAGCCTACGTCTTCATGAGCTTCGTAGCAGGTGAATGTTGAAGGCTTGTGCTTCATCATCAAGGCAGAATCGGAGGCAACTGTGGCACGAAAGCAAGTGGCTCGTCTGTTTTGTTCTCTCTTCTTCCTTGGCTCTACTGCCTCGGCTTGATTTATAAGCAAAACCTGAAAACCTACACAGTGAGTGTTCTGTGTTGTATCTAGAAGTAATACAGAAATATTGCTGTTGTTTTTGCTAAAGAAAAATTTTGTCTAGTTCATTTCAATCTAAATAAAATGTTAATTTTGTTTAAAAGAAAAGAAAAATATCAGACCCTCCTCATTGACAGATCAAATTCAAAAATGGGCATGTGAGATGCATACATACTTCTCATATGAAGAACTACAAACGGAAACTAAATATATGAAATAGCTGGGCGTGGTGGCGCACACCTGTAATCCCAGCACTCAGGAGGCTGAGGCAGGAGGATTGAGACCAGCCTGGACTACATAGTGAGTTCCAGGTCAGTCTCAACTACATAGTGAGACCCTGTCTCAAAAAACAAACAAATAAATAAATAAATAAAATAATGTTCAACATCTGTGGTCATTCAAGAGATATAAAGAAAAACAATGCTGAGATTCCATCTCACTCCAGAAAGAATGGCTATTATCAAGAAAGCAACAAATTCTGTCAGGCTATCAGGAAAAACTAACCCTTCTCCACATTCAGTGTGTGTGTAGACTCATGCAACCACTATGGAAATCAGTGTGGAGATTCCTCCAATGGCTAAGATTAGAGGTCCCAGTTGACCAGCTATTCCTC